TGTTTTTTAAAAGTGAAGAAAAAAAAATCGTATTCTTTTTACATATGTATATATATATCTTTAATTCAATACTTTAGGACAATCATAATAGATGCCAAGTTTATCATGAGATGATGAATATTTATTAATATCTTTGAATATATCAGATGATTTCGAATAAGCACCACGTTGAAATTTATATACTATAGTCAATTCATTAAATGGTGGTTGTGTAATTTTAATCGAAATTGTTTTAAATAAACCTAATGTTTGTAGTAACCAAATAACAGCTAAACAAATTACAGCAACAATTATAATAAGAATTGAAATCAACATCTAAAACAAAAACGAACTAGATAAAACCTTCAGCGCTTTTTTTTTATTTCTACAGTTTTTTCAAATTTTAAATATCAACATAACATATTCATAAAAGTTTGAAAATAAATTGGAATATTTCTCTAATTAAACTTTCTTTCTTAGTACTGAAGAAAGACTATTGGTTCTTTATTTGTTTGTATTTTCGTTTTTTAGTTCTCTAACTATTCGATATCATGTTAGATAAGAAAGAAAAAAAAGACAGAGGTCAGTTATGTATATACAAAATAATTCGATAGACAGTTATATATTTTCCAGTTTGAATGATTTAATAATATGTATAAACTTGAACTAATACAAAAGTTGTAAAATTTTCTTGAAGTGATCAATAAACATCTAACATTTCCTCTGTTGATAATCTTTGAAATATTATTTTGTTTTTCTTTAAATAATTATGTATTTCATAATTTTGTAACATCTCTATCCAGTTTGTTGAAGATCTTAATAAAAAAAAACATATAAATTCGATGATAATACTTTGAAGCAACTCAAGGTAGATTAGATTTAGTTCAGAATATCTGGAGTCTAATAGTCAGAAGGTCTTTCTTAAGATAATTTTAACAGAAACACGTCAATAAACATTTTGAATTTTTATTATTGAATTATAATATATGAGTTTTATAATATATCTGTTATTTTATATGTTCGTTTGGCTTGATAAATAATGCAGTTTAATCTTAGATGTAGATGAAATAATAAACGAAAAATTGTTGTCGATTGCCATATATTCATAATTCGTTATTTAGATAAATCGACATTATTGTATGTTATTTATTTCATAATCAACACAAGATCAATATTTCTTTGATAGAGTCCTGCAGGACAATCTCGAAAAATCTCGTTTGTCCCGCTCCATAGGATAATTCGAGACAATATAGGAAAAACCAATGCTCCGAATTTTCTTAATCCTTACATCACGAAGTGTCGTACACCTTAATTTTTGATATTTCTAATAAATATTTTAATATTTAAATAATAAATACAAAAAAAAAAAAACAGATAAACAGCTAGTCGAGCAGAGCCTGAAAAATGTCAAAGCGCAATCCTATGGATAATCTGCTAATTCTAAATCTTAAACTTTCGTAGAAGAAATAATAATGGCTTTCAGTCGTGTGCAGCTATTTTGTCTCAGCTAACAAGTCGAGAGACAATGAATCTGAACCAAATACTACCATACAAGGAAACTATTGAATATAGTATCTGAAATATCAATGGTCTTTTTCAGATTGAGTCATGTATGATCATCATATAAGGAAAATCTCAACTGTTAATTATCGTGCTTTTCTGACTTGTATAGCCTTCGAGTGGAATCGATTTTTAGAAAAAAATGGATTACAGACGTGCACTCAGCTTTCTTTTATTCAACGAGACTGTTCGAAAAAGTCTAAGTTAGAACAAACAAGATTCGGGTCACGAGAAGCTTTGTCCTCTAGGACTCTAATATTCACAGAACTGTCAACTTCAGATGACTCAAATGGAGTACGTAATTATTTCAAAAACAAAGGATACAATATGAAGAATATGACTTAAAGAACGCATTCTTTGGTCAGACAAAACATATTATCATGTTTCTGTTTCTGTGCAAATGTATCAAAATCTTCACGTTGTATTTTTCTGTTTAATGGGATTTTCAATACAGTAGCGACTGTATCAATTATGATAGAATTTTGGCTTGGTGTTTATGCACGTTTCAGGTGATTGAATAGACACCTTCTGTAAATGTATTTGAGTAGAGAATTGAATAAACAATAGTTCTTCGATTAATCGCTATCATATAATCTATGTGTAGCTTGAAAATTCTCTCTCTTCACATGTATAGTTATCAATATTTTTAAAAAAATTGAATGCTCGTACAAACTGAAAAACTTTCAAAAAGTGAATGAGAACTGGATGTGATCTTTTTGCGTGAAATAGAAACATCAGAAAAAAGATACTAACTAAAACATAAAATTTCAAGTCTAAACAAGATACGAAAAATTGAAATGGAGTAAAGTTGATAGTCCAGTGTTTGTGTTGTTACAGAAAATGTTTTTATTGTTGAAGATCATTCTGAAAAAAAATCCGATCCTTTTTATTCAATATCAAATGTAATGAAATATATATTTAATGAATAATGCATTTATTGATTTGATATGCTATTAATTAATAAAGAGATTGGTGATGTATAATAATTGATTTTGATATGAAGGTTATAATGAATAATTGACTTTTAAGTTATTTTAACATTCAAATCTAACATTATGTAGAAAAAAAAAGAATTAGTCATATGCCAAAATATCTATTAAGTATTTTTCACTCTGCTTTAGTGACTATTTTTTTTCTTATTACAGTCAGTGAAAACATCACAATCTTGAAATAAAAAAATTTCTTTTAATTTTGACCTAAATCCGATGTTTATTCTAGCAGTTATACATGTAATTATCGATTGACGGATACAATTTCAACAATATTCTTTATTCTTTTGAATTTTCGTGAATGTATAAAATTGAATTGTATAGTCTTTCCAGATATACTATTCACAGGTAATTTTCAAAAAGTACTGGATTATGTTATGTATCAATTTGGTGAAGTTATTTCATCGTCATCGATAACCTGAATTTTAACATATTTTACGATGTTATGCTGTGTTATATGGAACAATGTTGAAAAAGTATATCGAATGGAGAATGAACGTTTACAAATGAAAATCTTTGATAATAAATGAGTAATACAAATACTCATTTTAAAAACAGTACAATACCATTGAAACTTGGATGTACATATGCTTGGCGTGTTATTTATATGATAAATCTTTTTTATTGTTATTAAATACTTTTTCTGGTGCTATTATTTATGCATTTAGAAAAATTTCCCAATTAATAGATATATATATATATATGTTAGATATTATTTATACAAACAGAAAATTAATTTATATATAAGACAGTCAATGTAAATTCATATTTCAGACGTGCTATTCTCTGAATCTTCTTTAAGGATCTCTCTCCCTCCTTTCTGAGGTTTCTGAAGGATGGCTAATCAGGAATATTTGGAACTTTCAGGTTAGATAGATCTCAATGAATAGATCAAAAGTTGTAATAGATTTGAAACTCCTAAATACTTTCCTCTATGCAATATCTAGGTCGCAAAGGCTAAAAAACCGTCCAACTGTCTCAGCCGCAATTTGTCAGATAGAACTGGAATTCTTTCTTGCAGATACTGGACACTGTTTGAAGTGCCTACCCTAGTCGGTTTCTTTTTAACTCATTCCATTCTAATGAAAAGGTGAAAGTATTGAGCGAAGCTACGAAAATCAAGGGTACAATATTGTTCAAAATAAAAAAGTAGGCACACCTAACAGTACCCAATATCTGTAAAAACAAAAGTTCGCAGCGTGAAAGTTGGGCTTAATGAAAATACTAACCTATAATGAACGTCGCCTATTTATATGGCATTTGACAGAGGATACTTCAAAACTGTATTATCGATGAAAAGCCAAAAAAAAAATTTTGTTTTAGCATCCGGAAAGCAGAAGATTCCCTTGAGTCAATAAGAACATCTTAATCTGATAATTGATATTAGCCGATTTTTGCATCCTACATTTGAACACTTGACAAATTGATTGATCTATTACAATTGAATTCATTCGTGAAATGAAGAACATGAGTATCATTATTATTTACAGTATTTCTTCTAAATTCTAAATGAGTCTGACAATACTTTGATAAAAAATATTTTGCACCATAACGATAAACTATAAAGATCAAAATGCTGTGAAAAATATGTTCCATCTATCATTTTTTTGATCGTTTATTATTAATCAATAAAAAGAAATGAACTAAAAAAAAATAACAAAACAATTTTCTACTAAGTCATCATATTACAGTAATACTAAAATAATTCACATTTATTGCCTTTTTACAGTTGTTATTGAACTGTTCTGCTGCAATTTAAGTTTTTTTCGTCTGGTAAAGTAATTCTGCTCGTCCGCCCTACGTTTAACTTCTGCTAGACTTTGTTGTATTGATGTATACATATCATATGGTGCTGGATCAGTATTATCATTGTGACGTGGACTTGGAAAAAAATAAAATGAAAGTGCAATTACCATAACTGATTGATCATAACGATGCTTGTTTGTTGTACCATTTACATGTTTACATTTAGTACTCGATAAAATTGGTGTTATACAAGATGAGTCAAGCGCACATGTTACCCATGTTTTAAGTACAAGACGTGATAGAAAATTATCTGTCACAGCAACAAAACCTGCTTCAGCAATATAAATATCATCATATGATGAAAATATTTCATTAAACCATGAAAATGTTCCACTTAAAGTAAAACATGGTAAATAATGTCCAGGTAATTCACGACATGAAAAACCTCGGATTAAATTATCAATAAGTAGACGATCAAAATTTGATGTTTTATAACGAACTGATGTATCACCATAAATAATAGAACCAAAACGTCTTACAGCATCCTAGAAATATGAATATTTGTATATAGTTTTATCAGAGATAAATACTAAACCTGAATAACGATAGGTTTCCAAGCAAAATTGGGTACATATTGTATATGAGCAGCAACAGATTCAATTTGAGCAAATGGAAATGGAAAAATAATACATTTTTCACAGTTTTCTTTGATCTGAAATGAATTCGAAATTCTATAGGTTATATTTCTGTTAGAATAAATCTTGTTTTCTAAAAAACAAGTGATCCTAAACTTACAAGAGAAAATTGAAATTCATATCTCTTCAGTTCTATTATTAGTATCTGTCTGATTTTGTTACACTACATACACGAACTATGAATAGAAGAGTAAGTTAATCGACTGAGGGAGTGCCCCTGCAACACAATAATAGATATTTAATTTTTTTCTGTTTTTTTTTTTCGTTCGAAGATTTCACAAAATTAAGAAAAGTTATTAAAAAATTATCGAAAAACTTAAGCTGCTGTCGATGAATACATCAGCTTCCACTTCTAGGTATGAATCTGCATATGAACATATTTTAAGTATTTCGTATCTATTTTGGTCAACTTTAGAATCATCACAATAATCAAAGAAACTAAAACCAATGACGTTTTCGGCGCAAAACGACACATTTGTTTTAGAGCGGGTTTGTTGACTCTATGTTTGAAAAACTTCGATCTATAGAGATTTATTGTTCAAGTTTAATTTAGAAAGTTCATAGCAGAGATTGAACGAGAAAACACGAAATAACAATTAAAACGTAGAATTTATGAAACACCGAAATAAGGTGATGCTAATTTTGGTCAAACAGTAAAAAAAGAACTTTAGAACAACACTAAAATTAAACATAAACTTTCATTGTTGATATTTTGACTATGTGAGTTCGTGGCTTCATGCCGTATGTATTTCGTTTAAGCTTTTCCTCGTTCAAAAATCAATCTTGGTTCACGAACATGCAAATGACATGAAATTTTCAGAATACGTTTGGGTTATAGTGACGAAGCTATAGTAAAATTTTCAGCCTTACACCATCATGTTTTCCTAAGATATTCAACAAGCAAGAATTAAAAACAGTTCATTTGTGAACACAAAATTCTCGGTGGGTCTTGGTTCTATAGAGTGAATTCTTTTTTGGTTTAGAAGACCATGTCAAGGTGCAAGGCATGGCAGACCTATTCGTTAAATCGTTACTTCTTAAGAAGAGAAATGGGATGAGAAATTCAACATCTCAAAAAGTTCTCACAAATAGCTACCTAATAATAAAAGCATTCTTTTCATATAATAGTAACAAAGTTTAATTACAAAAAAAAAGAACTCTGTTATATTTTGCGTCTTGGCATGATACTTCAAACAAAAAAAAATATTGACTGCAATGAAGCTTCCTCGAGAATTTTGAGACATGCAGTCAAAAAAATCATAAACAGGGGGAAAACAAAACAGACTTCTTCTTTTTTGCGAAACATGTTTATTTTTCAAAGGAGCGATGACAGAAATCATAAAAAACTTCGGTAGAAAAAGGAGATGCCCAATACGAAGCTTAAAAACTATCAGACACAAATTGTTAGCGGAAGAGAAATATGAAATTCAATTTTGTCATAGTACTTTTTGGTCACTCATTAAATTAGAAAATTTCTTTTAACTTTCTCATATCTTACCATAGTTAGTTCTGTTGGACTTAGTCCGAGATCATAAATAGCAATAGTATAATCGCTTAAATAATCACTAACTGTATGCATTGATGCTTGTAATCTACTGTAATATTTTGAATTAGTTGCAAGAATAATAACGGGTTTTTGAATTTTATCTTTTGAAATTTTATCATAAGTTAAATGTTTATTTTTAAAACCATCAGACAAATAATTTGAAATCAGTTTCAAATAAGAAATGAAATCTTTTGTGATAACAATATCACCATTATCAGATATGCTAATATATTTTTGAAAAAGACAATAAATATTTTGTAAACGTTCAATATTATTAGCAAATGGATGTAATGTATTTTGAAAATCATTAAAACGAAATATACCTAAATAATCAAATACTTTCCTATATGTATTTTCATGTGAAATAAGGATTTGAAAAAGTTTATTTAATCGTTCAATTGTTGGTTGTGGTCGATTATCATTATTATTATTTTTATCATATGATGACTTAAAATGTTGTAAGGTTTCAATTTCATCAGTATTACATTTACTTGAGAGAGTATGATTAACAATGATTATTTCTTCTACTGTAAAAGATTCAGAATTGCTAAGTATTGATTGATCAGAAGGAATATAATGCAAAAGACGTAGATATGTTGAAACAATAAAAAGAATACATATTGTTAATAAATATCGAAGTTTAAAACATTTCCGTAAACGTAAAATGCGCAAACGCCATATAATTGACTGTTGCCTGATACTACTAGTTGAATGTTTCATTGTTGATTATCGATTGATATGCATTATTTATTCATTTGTTTTGTTATTTGTTCTAAATATAACAGAACAATAAATTCGATTGAGACTATCAGAAACAAAGAAAAATAAACTTTAAGTACAATAGAATTCAATCAGATAATAGAGGCTCGAAAAAAACTGAACTATGCAGTAGAATTAATACCACACAAGGACACTATTATCTCGTGCGCATAGTATTTTGATACCGTATATGAAAAAGAATGAAACAAAATATAACATACTTACTTGATGGCGAAATTCCAATGTAATAATATTGGAAAACTTTCAATCTTTATGTTAAGAAAGATCGAAGTTAATTAACTACGACGTGATAAAAATGAATTGTATAGTAATGGAAAAGAAAAGAAAAAAATATGTCTGTATTCACTCATTGTTACAGTATCAAATCTCAAAAACATTGATGACGGTAAAAAAAAGAAAATTCTA